AGGTGGTAGCTTCAACAATCCGAACCCTGGTGCTGAATCTCCTGAAAGCAATGAGTAGAGTTTAGGTCTGATGGGTCATTTTTCTTCTGCCAAAAATTCTCAGAGCTCTTGCTTTAACACTAGTATTTTACCTTTTCTAATCCAGTTTATGTGAAGAGGGTTTAGAAATTCCTAAAATGATGAAAGGTCAAAATTCTTGAGTTTTTGGTCTCTTAAAACAAACATGACATATTTATGAAAAGATTTGATAAAATGACTTTTACTATAATCAGTAAGCAGGCAGAAGTGGGCGTGTTGCTGTAAACTTGGTGTTTCTTTGGTTCCTTTTGTCTGCAATTGAGAAGAGACCATGCCTGCAACAAGAAAGAACCAAAGAATTGTAAGGAGATTTGCATTTGACCAATTTCTATTTATATATCACACAAACTAGGTTTATAATTTCTGAATTTGGTGATCTGTGGTATAAAAACATAGTTCCAAACCTGGCATATTCCAGTTTCTGAATCACGATCCCATTCAGCAAAAGCTCTGAGGTGTAGATTACAGCTCCTTCATTTCAAGTTTTTAAGGAGAGATTTACATCAACTTAAAAGTGTTCTTTATTACTAGTTTCAAAGTGTTCAGTTGGCAAAGAGGGTTACCTTGATTAATGAAAGGTAGACACAAATTTTGATCTTCTTCGCAAGAAAGAATCAATAGTTCGTCTGGAAATCTTCGATCCTCCTCAGCATTTATCTCACTTATCTCCACTACCTGACAGTGAACTCATAAGTTATAACCATCCCGAAGAAGTGCTAAGATGTATATAAAACAAAATCTCTCAATGGAAGGAAGTTGGTCTTACCTGCCCTTGAGTCACCTTCACTAAGTAAGCAATCATACCTCTGCTTGGTTTAATGTTGGGAGTGATGCAGACTTTTAACCCCTAAGAATATATGCAACTTATATGATCTCAGATACTTGACTTGTGAACAAAGAATGTTTATGAAGCTCTCAAAAAATGTCAAATGAGATTAGATTGTGACCTTAAGAAGAGGACGCTGTTTCGCACGGGCCAAAGATGTAAGCAAGCAGAACCCTTCTTTTTCCTTTTTGCTATCCTTTAGGATGTAACTCTTCTCATCTATCAAGCATCTTGTTTGTGCACAACTCTCCAGCCACAGAGGTGTAACAACAGGTTTACCAAGGGCTATGGCTTCCAACATATTCTTTGTCCGAGCAAATCTATCTGCTATGAAATGTGTTGAATCTGCTGAGGAAGATGCGGGAGAAATTCCCAGTTGAACCATGATCTATGGAAGAAAAGAGAGAATTCTTGGTAACCAATATGGTCTATATACTTACACTGTCAAGATTGATAGAAAAAAGAGGAAAAGGAATAAAACCTTCTTTTGCTGCTTGATTGTTTCAACATCTAGATTCTGGCTGAATAAGACTCGAACATGTGCCAAGTTTCTTCGTCTCCTCAAGTCTTTCCACATGAAGTCACCTACATTTCCTGGCCCTCCAAGCCTAGTGAGCTCCTTCAGAAGGAATGGCCTGGGCATATCTTCATTGCAAGGACTTTCGCGACTTCTGCCATATATTTTCCTTGGAGATGCATGGTTTACAACTTTCGAATCATTGACAACTGATTGGCAAGAAGAGGCTTGTCTTGTCCCACTTAATGGTACTCGTAACCCACTTGAAAAAGTGTTGGCTTCGCTTTTGTCTTTAGCCAGAAAAGGTTTCCTGGATGAGATGTGATGCCTTTGCATAAGACGAGATCGTTTGGCCCTGGGATGCCTCCATTCACATAAGTTGAGAAGACATGTTGTAGCAGAGACGTTTGTCCTGATTCTCTCTATCTTAGTGAAATTTTTCTTCTTCTTAGAGTTTCTTTCCTTCCGTAAAGTACCAAGCGGACCACTCCAATTGTCTCTTTCAGGTCCATCCTCAATGGTATCATTGTTCCTTCTAGAAAGATTACTAACTTGATCCCTCATTTCTGAAATCTTCTCAGAAATTGGGTCTGATTCACAAGCATCTTCTTTAGTGCAGGGAGTATGCAGTAAAGCACTCATTGCTTCAGCAGCAATCTGAGTGCTGATACCGACATCAATAAAATCTTCCTCAGGTTCCAACTGCTCATTCAACGCCTTATCCTGCAACTGAGCATCCATATGTGAGATAAACATAATGCCCTGACTCGAACCTGGTGTTTGTTCCATCTTGTGTTGGTTTGCAGAACTATTCTGCATAAATCTTTGAGTGGGATGAGTTGAGACTTTTCCATCCTCACACAGATCCACAAACCCTTTCTTCACTCCAGGATCATGGTCCGCAACACGGTCTTCTCCTCTCTTTAAGCATGTAATGTCTTTGCAAGTGGATGGAGAGTTTTGTGGGTCACTCACATCACACTGATCACTACCCCAATCAAAGACACTCATTTTCCTGGTTGGACTTCTGGTCTTGATTCTTTTGGCCAGAGATTGACGTCCTTTTGCACCTGAGAAAGGTGGTGACTTCCTTTTCCGACTAGTTTCCGGGAGAACCACCGGGGAAAAACTTAGATCTTTGTCCTTCAAAAATTGGTCCACAAAACCAAGCGCTTCTGCTTGTGTTGACTCTCCTGGTTCCTGAGAATCCAAAAGATCCATCCCTTGGAAACAGGTAACCCTGTCACAATTTGATTCTTGCTTTCCTTAAAGAAAAATAGACCTGAGTTAATACAACAAACGCTTAGCAAAGAAGAGGATAGATGGCTCATCATAACAACAACATAAAAATATGTTTACCTGTTTGATGATCATTCGATCCATCAGACTCCAAAAGTACATCTGCAGCTTTAGTAAGGCTTCGCTCCCGCAAAACAGGAGCCACACTTCCATTTCCTC